TAAGTTTTACGGAGTGCAATTTATAATAACTATATTGATTCCATTCCTCGTGCCACTGAGCTGTTACAAAATGAATGATAAATGGTTTAAAATCGGTAAAATGAAGTTTAAAAACAACAGGTGGTAGCGATAAAGCATCATTTGGGCCACGACCTGCTAGATTTATCCATATGTTGCTATACTCCTTTTTCCGCTTAGAATATCAGACCATGTGTAAGTCTTTTTAAAAGACTTTATGCTTTTCGTGATAAAAATGAGGGTATCTCTGTGATTTAGTTATCGCAATTTTATCCAAGAGGCGTTCTTTCCAGGATCAAGAAACAATCTTAAATGTTTGTTGTAGTGATCTAAAAACATGGAGAGTGGTATATCAAGCCGGATTTCATGCCTACAAGCAAAGATTATATGACGCGCAAATTAAGTTCTCCATTGTTGCTTAAACGTACATATACGACTAAAAATAGCAAAGTATATAAAAACACAAAGCCGCAGATGTTACGTTGGAATTTATTTACACTGAATAATGGAAATTGCAAAAAAATGGCGCCTGCTTTAGCAACCTAATCGAATAAGTGAATCTTAAATATCTATATCATGGATGGTTAGTCTATAAACTAGAACCCTTTAATATTAAAGGACACTTATCGGGTTGGTTTACATATAACTTATCAGATAAGAAACTATGTATTTTAATCTGTGTCTTTTTCCAACTTATAAATATGTAAATGCTGACGAATTACAGAGATAAAGTTTAGACCCTTTTTGTTTGTTTCATATGTTTGTAATATTGGTGACTAGTGAAATTATTGAAAATAGCAATAGTGATATAGCTGATGAAATTTCAGAAAATCATTTAAATATTAGTAATTTGGAATAAGAAATGGAAGGGATACTACTCGCTCCTTACAAACGTTCCGGTGTATTATTTTCTGAAGACGGCAAATGGGTTCATCAAGCAAATTTTATGCTCTAAAATTTGTGAAAAAAATGTCTCAAGAAAACCTCTTTAAGTCATACGTAAACAATATGAAAGTCAAAATCTACTTATTTAGAAGCAGCTAGACCCATATAAGGATTTTCCATATGATTTTGTATTTAGGACACTATCCAATGTACACTCTAAACGAATAAAATACCTTCCTGGTTCTTGAATTCACCAGAAGCTGATTTTTCACTTCATGAAAAATGGTTAAATCGGACACTGACAGTTGCACCTTTCATTCATCCTTCTCGAAATTGCAGTTAAAATTTAAAACATTTCTGCATTTATATACCGATAGTTTAAACGATAATGATAAGGTTGCAGCGGCCATGGTTTCACAATATGAAGCCTATGGGTGCCGGCTACCTAACAACGCCTCAATATTCTCGGCGGGCAATCTACCTTGCCCTTGAATATATTCAGACAAAGTGATTAGAGTTGCTATTTATTAAGACTGTTTCTGTCCTACAAAGTCTGAGCAATAAAAATATCGAAACTATTTTCATTTGTAATACATTAAAAACGTGATTATGAACTTGCCTTTAACTTTCGTATTGCTTTTTGCTGGGTTCCTGGGCAGAGTCAAAAACAGGATTAGAAATGTTAACCATCTGGCCTTCTTTCATCATAAACTATATCCTGACGTGTATGTTCATATTTATTTCATACCTTAGACTTTCTCGTGTACAATGTGAGGGTGTCTGCCATTGTGGTAAACCCTGCATTTGCCCAGACATTTATAAACCAATGTGTGAGTATAACGGAAAACAACATACGTAACGCCTGCAAGTAAGGTCATGTATTAACAAACCCCAACTTACTCTTCATGCCATGGTTTCCAGATTTGTGTTTTAAAAAATATCTGAAACAATGATGATTAAGTGCATATTATAATTGCCTGTCATATATGCTAAGTAACGAAATTTCGTTTCACCATCGTCGCGCTTTGCAATGATGGAAGAGCATTTTGTTTGTAATGACCATATCTATCGCCCAAGTAACAATACATAAAGTGTACGATAGTACTATATTATTGCATTCAAAATATAAGTTAATGAAGTAGAGATATGTAATATGCACTGATGTCTCTTTACTCCGTAAAAATTACTACTAACACACACGAAGAGCAGAATTATCCAACTGATAGCCACGCTACATTACCATTTTCTGAGTAAAATCTTCACTAAAATTTTTACCAATTGCAGAGGCATAAAATATGCGCTGTTATCTTACATCCGAAACCAACTATCTAACCTCTAGCTTTAACACATGTATTATTTCTAATCCTTCAGAGGTGCTGTGATCCAGTGCAAGGGCAGGTGTCCATGTCAGAATTGTTTGTGTCCCTATAATTACAATCCGGTGTGCGGAATAGATGGACAGACATATCCGAACTCTTGCTCAGCTAGATGCAAGTATGTATAAACACATAGATTTAATCACCTGTAAAATCTATATTCTACATTTCTAAATTGATGAAGCGAAACAAAGGTAGTCAGAATTGTATTTTTTAACCATATATTTACTTTAATAATCGTTAAAACAATCTCACGATTTTGTTAATCTGTTGTCTTAAGTGGGGTTGGTAACATGCTACAATTACCAGGAGATTACTTACTATCATCATTTATTTGTTTTTAGTGGTGTTCCTGTGCTATGTCCATGGGCTTGTCCATGCTTCGTTATTGGATAATGCGATTATTAAAATTCTTCACATTTCTGCCGATGGGACTAAAGATTTTGCCGGAACCACTATTTATATTATCTGTGTATATAACTTACGCGAGAGAACATCGACTTCTTCAAATCTGTTTTATAGCAATAAAGCGTTTTATGGATATGAAATATTCGTTACTGGCTTTCTATGTGTTCCTTATACATGTAAGACAAAATATAAATGACATCTTTTAAAGTACATCGCTTGAAATTGATTTTATAAACAAGTCATTTCAAGTTAGTGAACAACATCACTCAACACAAATGTATTTATAACTGAATGGAACCAGGATTAAAGCGGATATATGTATAATAATCATCTGAAACTACACAACTAGCATTGTGAATAAGCACCAAAAAATGAAAAGGTAAATGAAAGGTATATATACGTACTGGCAAGACATAAAATTTATGTAATCAAGTGTTCTGTTGTGTTTTAACAGTGTTATTCTATCTAGACAATAAGAAAGAAGTGATAGAAAACATAAGCAAAGCCTTCGGACGATCTGTTTATTGACAAGAAGGCCACTGAAAGTGAGCGTGACATCTAAAACCAAGATTTTTCGTAGGAGCAAGTGTACCGCACTGTCAAAACCTTCAATCGACTTCAAATGAAAGCGATATCGCCCATTTCAACGAAGGAAAACTGCAGGCGAAAAACAAATGTTCATGCACTCCAATGAGTAACATACAGACCAATTTTCATGTTGCAGAGGAAAATATTTCTCATGAAATCATTCAGACGATATAACAGCTTAAAACAATTCAAATTTCACTTCGGTGTGATGAACTTTATTATTATTTTTTTTTTTATTTTTTTTCGTAGTTGAAGTCTAATTTAAATTTAAGAAGGGCATATTTTTCTGCCATTCCAAAGCTTCTTCATAATCTTCAAAGGGGAGAAAATTTTCATGAAAAGGAAAAAGAAAAATAATGTTTTCTAAAAACTTTCCAGTGGTTGAAGATATCATTATTTTGCAAACGGAGTACATCACTTAGTTAAATCAAACAAACCTGTCAGTGTATACACCTTCCTCCAATTAATGTCTCTAAATCATCCTAATGTTAATGTATAATATACGTGCGAACGATGTTTAATTAAGACAAGAACAATAATTAAGACTTGGAGACCTCAGATAAGTTATTGATGTCTGCCATCAATTACTGTCGAAATTTGAGGAAATTAATTTCTATTTTTATTTTCTTAGGAATGATATCATCACCCTTGTATCACGCAAATGAACGGATTTACATGAAAAACAGCTCCACCAACTACTTGTCAAGGTACATCAACCGACCAACCATATGGTTTACTTTAGTATAAACACAGTGCAGGTTTATATCATCAATTATTTATTGTTTATATTTCTATTAAAATCAACATGTGTGGCGAATATTGAAAATTTCATCTCCTTGTCCATGATACAGTATTTAGCTCGGGCTATTCTATGTTAGTAATTTAACTCAATTTCATGTCTTTTGAACAGTCGAAACTCATTTAAGGGACCATGAAAATATCATAGAAAGGATACACAAGTAATTACGGCCTTTTAATACAATCTTAGAGCTATATATTACAGAGCCATCTAATTGAACTGTATCATACAGCTGTTTGATCATTCTAAGACTCATCACTGATGCCAAGGTCCTAGAAAGTCCATCAGACGACTTAGGGAGGATCGGGAAAATGTCGAAATCCAGATGAAGAAGTTCAATAGTCCAATAATCCAATAAATTTAGTAATTTGCATATTTCTGATAATTTTAGAACATGGAGTGCAAGTGTATAAAATACAATGTAACATACAGGTTACTATCGCCGTGAAAATACTTATTCGGTCAGTGTCAGACAATAAATCTCATAATCATTTTGTCCATCTTTGACTCGTCAGTGATGCTAAAGAGCCCGTGCTTTCGTTTTACTTATCTTCTTACATAATTGTAACTGGTAATTATCATTAAGTTCAGACTGAGATATATTTGTACGTTTACGTTAACGCCATATATAATTGCCAAGTCAAGGTATCTAACTCTTTCCACATCGGCAATGTGTAATAGACTTTTTACAACATTTTGTGTATATTTATATAACAAGCTGCATGAAATAGGGAAAGTTACCGACAATAAAATGACTACCGTTGACACATATAAGGATATATTTCCATTTCGTAAACGGTTTGTCAAGAGAAAACAAGGCGTTCGTGAATTAATTGCATTTGCTGCATATATTATGCAACTTAATAACGGTGACAAGGTGATCACGTGACGAAATTCCTGTATATAATGATGCGCTTTAAGTATGATATATTGTGAAAAAAAAATCCAAGATGAACACTGCACTGGTAGCACTTTTAGTACTTGTTTGTTATTTACAGATGTGCCAAATCCAGTCCATACGTAAGTATTGCAATTCGTAATTTGATTGTGGATAAATAAGAGATGTCATAGTACATTTTGGTTATGTGAGTGTAAATAGATATCAGTTAACAAAAACGAAACATGCATTTTTTGACATATGTCTTATGGTGCGATATGTATTTAAAGTGTAATCAAATTTTACTTATTTGATTTGATGGTGCTCTATAAAACAGTCGAATATACTATTAGCAATATTTGAACATTTTCCATGTAAAAATAATTGTAGAACAGAAGTACAATATATCTCCAGAATTATGATGTGTGCAGTGTTGTATTTGATTGTGTTATATTTATCAGGGGCACGGTGCTACCGCAGTCACGTGTGTGGTATCAATAAAAGGACGTACAGAAATGAATGTACTGCTAATCGAAGGTAACATTGCTAAAGTCGATCATTGCAAGGCTTAACGTTATTTCATTGTAAAGGAGTAATAACTTCGATATCAATTCAGTTTATTTGTCCAAATCGATAAAACCAAGACTACAGATGATATCATCACTACTGTGCATCATCTTAACTGACTTGTTTTTCTATATCACCCAAGATCACAATTGTAATGTTAGCTGACGAAATGATTTGTGTGATACTCTATAAGTGAACACATTTCGCCACCAGTGGACATTGCCTGAAGCTGATCTAAGATTTTATGTAATTCTCTTTCAAATCTGAGCACAGTCTGTCTATGACGTAAGGCTATGTGTGGTTATGCTACAAGTTTGACACCATTTTGCACCGTCCTCCTATGACTTCAACTAGCGTGATTCAACACATATACATACATTCTTTGCATAACATTCGAATTGTGTTATCCCATTAACAAATGTTAACTATTTCACATAGATATCATGGGCACTCATTTGTTCGCTTAACCCCGGATATTTTGTGTACTCGCATCCCATCACCACTACTGGATGACACCTATGTTCACTTCACTGTCATTGCCATGTCGGAACTTGTGAACGTAATCTTAATACCACTCGAGTCCCCATGAGGCTTTTTCTGTAGTGATTCGTCCAACAGAGCTTATAGTCTTCTTCTGTGTGAGATAGTGTTGTGATAATTATTGTGTAGTACTATCACGCGTTCCTTGTAGACTTTTCCTGTACTGCGTCATTTAGAAATGGAAACAGTTTTAGTTCCTCATTTTTAACGTTCTGTGCCTGGGAGGTGAGATCGCGTGTTTTTGGAGGCTGCGATATGTTCCTGTAAGCTGTCTTGTGACAGTACGGAACTTAAGTCAATAACATAGTGCTACTTCGTTGAAGTATTTGTACACTGCCGACGACAAACATGATGCTGAGCAGTTGGGTATAGTAATTATAAGTACTATATCCATTTAATCAATATGGTATATCTCAGCCAGAAAAAAAGAACCAAAAGCCTTCCTCACAGGGGCAAACACTCCATTAAATCCAAAATTATGCAAGTGCCAAAGAAGACATTAAAAATGCAATGTAATTCAGGAAGAGCAAAAATTATATAATAAATTTAATCACCTCTTACCACTTTACAATAGGGCAGCGAACACGTGCAATCATTATGCACTACCTACATAGCAAATGAACACGCTGTTCATTCGAATGCTAGAGGAGCATACTTACATCAATTGTTTCTAGTTTGCTTTTTCTGCACTTTTCTGCCAAGCAACGGAAAACTGGACATTTTCTAAAGTTGGCGCTGATATTATGTAATATCTAATAAACATATCGGATATCGGAATATCAATACATACAAAGCATGCTCTATATAAATTTACACGTATATCTATATACAACCAACCCTATGAATGAATTTCAACATAATGAACACAAAGCATCGTTCCGATTGGTTAAAACTAAAAAGGTTATATCATAACTAGGAAAGCGACATATAGATCATCACTATGGTGTTTTATCGCTCTGAAAACTTCTCTTTTCCTTGGCATAAACATTGATAAATTATGTTATATTTCTCAGAGGTATCAAGGTGGCCTGCAAGGGAAGGTGTCCTTGTAAGCCGAAATGCCCCTGTAGAAACACTTATCAACCAGTATGCGGATGGAATGGTAGAACCTACAGCAATAGATGTCAGGCATTATGCGTGTAAGTTATCTTAACACATTTCATTTATCAATGGAAATAAGAACCTTACAAAAAGTCCTCCGTCAGCTTGTTCTTGTTCTTTCTCTACTTGTAACTATGGTCAAACTATACCAAATGTTAAGCTACGAGATATTTTCAGGAAGGATTCTAAATATCGTGAAATCACGTCCGTTAATCGGACTGTAAATTTCAAGATAAATATGGATTCTTTTGAAAACTATGCTACAGAATGCTGCAAGGAATGCATTTTCTGAGTGGTGGGTTTCGTTAAAAAAATGCAGCTTGAAATCAAAATGAAAACAAAACACAAGTCAGTTTTCCTTGATCCTGATGGTAAGATTTATATGACAGGCATGTTATTGTGTTATTGTTTGCAGATAAGGCGTTATTATTACGTTTCTTATACAAAAAGAACTGGACTTGCTTGATAAAAAAAGTACAGTATGCAGTCTTTAAAACGACGAAATATTAGCTAATCATGCTTCGGTATTATAATCATATATATAGCCTATAGTGATAAGGATACGGACCTTCCCCGTTTAAACCGAATCTCTGAACATCACAAGAATCCATATAAACAACAGTTTTATGGTCGCCATAGTGATCTCATTAAGATATATTGTATTTCTTTGTTTCCCTGACATGAAAGTGGACGTATTTGATGCTCGTTGATTTGCCTGTTAGTTCCATTGTTGCATACCTTGTTCTCATTTGAGAACGCCAAATTCCGTACGCCATGTCAAATATATTTTGATATTTACAATATGAAGCTATTAGCTCATCACTGCGTTTCTACGTAATGGGTAAATAGAAGTTGATAACATGAGTTTTAATGGTGACGAAGTCTCAAGTTTGTTCAAATGAATGACTTTGGACTATTTTCAGTCACAGGGGTCAAATGTGTTGCAATATTTAAACGACGTCTGAATAATCCGACCAATTGCTCAGGTCAATTGTAAATATGCATAAATCAGTTCTGTTCTGTCTGTCCCAACGCCGGAACAGATGGACAGGCTCTAAAACCGTCTAAAGGCCCGAAGACCTCAGGTAATCGTTAAGGCTCATGTGACTCTTATTTAATCTTTGTATCTTATATTTGTTTTATACAGCTGGAATACTGAAGAATACATTCAATTTCGACTCCATTTTATTTTACATCTACCAGCAAGCTGTTGACCAATTTTAACTCGCCAGGAACGAATGGCCGAGTGAGCAATAGGGAAGTGTAAATGATTTCGTTTAAACGGGGGATGGTCTGGGTCCCTCTGAGCCTGAAGGGTGAGGCCGAGGGGAAATTAGTGCGCGTTCTTCAAATTACTACTTACCCTGCAGGAATGATTGAATTTGGCCGAAACTGGACTGAATCTTTTTGGGGTAAATAGTGGTTCTATGATCCATGGAGTGGGGCCGCATTTGGAAATTAGGGCAAATTTCTAAATACGTCTAAAATGAGATCAATGTACACAACTGTGGAACCAGCAAGCAACCTAACGCGCATCAAATACGCCTAGCTTCATGTCTCACAAAGAAATAGAATATTTCTTAATGAGTTTACAATGAAGACCATAACACTTACCCAGAACAAGTGTTACAGGTTTGTGCGTCAGGAGACAACCTGTTACTCAGAAATCGGATAGTGGTTAAAGGCACTGCCATGTTGAATCAACTGCAACATGTAAAATTGACATTTAAATAAAGTTTTGAAGTTTTCAGGACATTAAAATTATACTTCTCTTGTGAAAATGTTTGGATCTGAAGCATTCGTGGGTGGATAGAAATCAATTTTGTATAAAGGCGGGTCTCAGCCCCCAGTTTATTTAAGATACTGCTCTTGTAGGAATTATGGAATTTTTCTCATACTTGATCTGATGCATTCCTTTGTGAGTGAATTAGTTCTATTTTATAACAATATGTTTCGGCCCCCTTTGGTGGAAAGGGCAGGGCCCAATAGGAGATTAAATTCTTTAAAATCCTTCTATAGGAATACCTGGATGGTGTTCCAATATAGTCTGAAGCATGCTTGTGTGAAAGAGAAGCAATTTTGATTTTGTATAATCTTGAGACCTCGGTCCCATCGGGCAGGAGGGGTGGGACCAAATAAGGGAAACTTTTTTCAACAATTTTTTTCTGATGCAACAATGCTCGGTTTTAGTCCCAGTTTGATCTGAGACATGCTTTCGTGAAAGGAATCAATTTTGTAAGAGCAGTGGTTTTCGCCACCTGGGGCCAGACATGAGAGTTGAGATAGAGCTAATTCTTTAAAATTCTTCTTCTTATGGAATAGTGAAGAAAATCTTGATTTGTACAAAGAGTGCATCTAACCTCCTTTCGGAGGAGAGACAGGACCTCTTGTTTGAAGTGTGATTTAATGTATCCGAAACTCTTAATTAATGCATGAAGATATTTTAATCTGTTTTCACTTCCCTCTTTTACAGAAGAGTGACAGTTCGCTGTTTGTGGCCTTGTCCTTGCTTTGTTTTCCATAAGTGATCAGACGGAAAAGGGAAGTGACATAATCAGTTACGAAATACATTACCGCTAAACCAAAGCTAGTTACTTTTAATTCGGGATTCCTATGTTGAACCAGATTGTTATTTGAATATCAGTGACATTCACTTTTTTGTATAATAGTTTTCTCTAAAAGTATATAAAGAATGGTTTTTCACAAAGTGCTAAATTGGTCTATTTTTACTCGAGAGTAGTATAAAATATATAAGTTTAGTCACATGCATATTTCATAACACTAAGCATCCCAAATATGAAAGCTTAATAAAGCAACAAATTATAGACGATTAGTCTCATGTTTAAAGGTGGTAGAAATCTCTATTCCGAAACAATACTGACACACTTTCTTCCTTCATACATATATCAAAATCAGTCGTCAAACTGCTGCGATCAACATTATAATAATAATAATAATAATAAAACACTTTAAGAAGATTAAAAGTGATGTCAACATTTTCTTTATGTCAAACTAGTGAAAGGTATTATTTATGTATTACATGTATTAAATACAAAGAGTGTCAACAGCAACACAAAAATACCGTTACGTCAACATGATACTAATTCAAACTAGATTTATTTGAGAGAATAAGGAGAATAAGACCAGGTGTTCAGAAATGCTAAGCTTCTTTTACTTCATATAGAAACCCTCAAAATGAATCTTGGTCAAATAAATAATATCACGTTTGACACTGAAAACATTGTTAACATCAACAGAACCATCAATCCTGCTAACGATCATCAAACAGGTTCAACATCACATAGCACAATAAGATTGAATATTTCCTGATGACGGTCGTAAAAATCATCCCTATAATTTCATCAACCACCATCTCTCGAAACCCTGTGTTATAAATTTGTCTGTCTGTTGCCGACCTCCTGCACGGAAGATGAACCTCAAAGCTGGACTTGAAACCTATGATCCATGCATTTTTCATTCATGAAGATGATTGACAAAATGATTTAATCGAGAAATATGTCGTGTGATATGAAGTTGGACGTGTTTTATTATTTTTTAGTTGTTGGTTCTGTTGGTTTGTATACCTTGCTCTTATTCGGGAACGTGACATTATTTAATGAACATGTGGCCTTATTCCCCTTGTACTTTTTCATGAGTGTCCTTGTAAATCATTCTGATGTCCCAGTTTGATTGAATTTGAGTTGAGGTAATGATTCTGTTCTCATGTTGATGTCGGATGACAACAGAATAAAATTATCTTCTGATTATTTTGGCAAAATGTAACGGTTCGTCACTGAATAGAATGAAAAGCTTTAATCATTTACACCTGCACTTACTTGGCTGAACCAGATAACTTATTCCTGACAATATTGAATATGTCATAGACCCTTCACAAATGTACAGGTCCGAAATGTAATGTTGTAAGTGGTCTTACTAATCATCAAAACTGAAAGCGATCGAATAACAACAATAAACGAAAATTTTATAGGCGATACTTTTGAATTAGTTAAAAGTTTCAAAAATTCATAAATGCAGGTTTTGGTTGAATAATTATTCATAACGTGATATCTATGAAACTTACATAGCATACACAAAGGCATTTATTATTAAATTCAGCTAGGCTGTGCTATGTATGTGATTTATTATCTGTAACAAAATATAAACTTGATAAAATCGCCGATGTTGATGTCTGGGCATGTTGTAATATGTATGTTCACAGTTCAAACAAAGTTAAGACAATACGTATATATTTATATATATCAATGATTAAGAATATATCTTTTGTCTTTTTGTCCTTCGGTTATTACAGGAAACCCAACTTTTGCTCAGATAATTAGACAAAGAAAGCGGAGTTTTGCACCAGAAAGCAATGTATATTACAACTCAATGATTTACATGCAACTTAATGTACACCATTCATTTGATCTTTGTGATGCATTATTGAAGTGCGATAAGTTTCATTCGTAAAGTTATGAAATGCTTTTGAATTCGTTAAAGGTTTCACAAATTCATAAATGCAGGTTTTGTTTTTGTGGGATGCATATACTTAATTAGCGATTATTTCAACAAAATACATCATTTGAAAATCGAATAAATGCAATATGAAAGAAACAATTCTCATTTAGCATATCTTTATAAAACAATGGAAACAATACGAAAGTAAATCTCACCATGTGATATACTTAACCTTAAACTCGTATGCAGATATACAAGGTATTTTATGTTAGTTACATTCAGTCTTTCACGATCGTCATAGTGATCTGTTTGAAAAGATTCAATTTTCGCAATATGAAATTGGATGTGTTGAGCGTTCATCAGTACATGTATACATGATGACTTACTTGTTAACCTCGTTTGAGAATATGACATAATAAGATTTGCCATGGCAGATGCAGTAATTTAGGTTGAAAACATCTACTCTTCTGAAACAATTGACCTTATTTTGTTTTTACTTTTGCGATGATCTCCACAAAAATGGTTATTATTATTGCTTTTATTTTGCTCCTGTTTCATGGATTTCCAGCTCACATTAAGATTTTGTTAACATGTCTGTATTATCTTTAAATGCTTTCCCTTGCATCATTTTTTGATATTTTAATTGTTTTCCTCCAAACTCCAAAGTTGAATCATGCATGTTAGGCACAAGGTTGTCATTTGTTCATTTAATTTATTAGAGCACTTCGACCAATGCTCTCAGTGCCTTGATCACGACACATAACAATAAACTATCTTATGCATTTAAAATTGTATACAGTAGTATACACGATGTGTGTTAAACGGTATTCACAAACCATCCAGACTTTCATTGTAGCTGGATATTGTGTGGGTGGTTCGTTGAGTATAGATAAAGATCATGATCTAATCAACACGGTGTTATCGTAACTACATTTAGATCATTCTAACCATGAATTAGATCATTTTTCATTAAAAAATTTACAAGTCGGGTTGATGAAGGGATTTTGGTACCTTGTCCATATTTTTTTTTATTTATTTATCGAAAAACCAAATCACAAAAAGACATTAGATCAAAGATAATGATTGGCTTGGCTTTGAAGTGTTATCATGTTACTAAATCAGGATATGTGAATCATTTAACCTATTCTGAAGGAAATGTCCCAACAATGAAAACAAAATATCGTAACGTAGAGCGCAAATTCTGCAATGTATTGGAGGGATCTTTCGGGATATAGACTTGCAGATAACAAAAACATTTTACAATACGTATCAGACGTGCAATTGTTATAATGTATTGACGTATATTACTGACCAACGAGGGAAACGAATGTTGGCAGGATTATCTAATGCTCTATCTTATTGAATGAATGTTACAAAGCCGCATTGTAACAAAATAATAATAATAAAAAAAGAAACAGAAAAAAATGTTCAGTTGTTTTAAACCTCCAATTAACTTTCAAATTCAACACGCTAATTAAAAGCATTAACGTAAGCGAGACAAAGTGTGTAACATGGTATTGAAAAATAAATGTGAAATAGAATACCATTACTTTTTATGAATCCCAAGTAATAAAATAATATTTCGTTCCAAATATTGATATCAACTATGACATCCAAGAAACACTAAAGACATCTTTATTTTATTGTGTTTTTAATATTGCTGATGTTTAAAAGTTCCAAACAATCAATGACAAACACATTTTCACAGCAATGTCAATACATTTATCTCAATATATTTGACAATATGGCCATTCCATGTGTCCGACTTCTTCCTGTTCCTTCTTTGATCATGAACAATTGTCGTCAACTTTTCTATCGTACACGAATTCTAATACAGACGTTGATCTAGCTAATTCCGCAAACAAACAGTCCACCTACCAAGATAAATAGAAATCAGTTGGGCAAGAATAAAAATAACTCGGTATGTTTCATTGGCAACTTGAGAAAAACAGATATAAATATATATGTTTTATTTAAATAAATGAAACCGACGTCTCTATATTTATAGGTTTGAATTAAATGCAAAAACTCGTTAATCAAATTAACAAAAATCGCTATAGAAATAAATTGTGCTATTTCTTTGTTAATTCAAAATAATAACACGATGCAACGTTGTTTAGGAGATTGATAATTAAGTTTAAAATGACGCCATGAAACTCAGACAAAGACAATTTATGAAGAGGCACGAAGATAGCCATATACCACTACATCGAATAAAATGAAATCAACTATTTTAGGCAATGCATAAAAAATCATCAATTGCTTTAAGACATCCTGACTAAATTGAAAAAAATTAAATAAATTCAATTACATTTCTTGATATTTAATGGCACATCATGTATGATCATCAAGGCCAAAACGTACAACATCTAACACCGGTAGACGTGATATGTTACGGCATATATTCTGATAAAGCATGTAATACCCTATTATATAATGAGGAATGTTCGGTATGCGGACAACAGAGATATCTCCACACACGCAAACATTTCGATAACTATTACATATTATAAAACAATACTTACATGTACTTTCATTTCCTGCAATTCATGAACAACCTTTTGTTTGATTCGCCGTCCTCGATGGCGTCTAGCTATAAATTCCAGAAAATCAGTGATTACACAACTGAATAATTTTCATAAGGTATCACGTATCCAGCTTGTAGCAGTTTTAAATTTAGCATTAATGCTAGCAAGGAAGGTATATGTAGACGGTCATTAGTGCAAAAGGATATATATACTTCGTTATACTATTTTTGTCGATTATGTTAACATGACATGTTTTTGTACATAAAACGTAATGACTGTTGTACAAGTAAATCACCAACTCATTACAGTTATCAAATAACTCGCGTATGTTTAATCAAAGTTATTGCTGGTAAATGTATTTTTAGTTCTTTCAAATTCTGCTAAAAAACACAAGTATTAACCCTTTTTCCGTACAAATTAAGAACTATACAACAGAGTCAAATTAAGGACCAAGCTGCATCATGCAGCTGTTTCGTCATTCTGGGACTAGTCAGTGTTTTTGTTTTTTTCAAAATCAACTGAAAGTGTTTATTATTGTACAATTTACACAATTCCTTTATACCATAAGTATACTAAGATCAACCAATTGTCACTTATCCATAAATACTTTGTGTTATATTTTAATCACTATGCAGAATACCCTGCTTGGATTTCAGGTTAGATCACCTTGTTTATGTGATGAGTAATAGACATGTATTATAGAAATATGTGAATGTACTGGTTCGACTGTAAATGAAGAAAGATCAGTGATTATCGAGGACATGTATTGGTGTATCCCATCGATCATAGTGACTGTATCAACTTGTAAAGAAGACATACCTTCTCCGGGTGTCAGATCAACCAGGAGAACGATGCTAAACAAAGTTATCATCACAAGAGCTCGCATCATCGGCATTTTCTTCGACCGTAAATCGGAATGAGGAACTTCATTACTATTTATACCTATATATTTGTCGTGTAGTATGTTCTGGAATCATACTACACAAGGTATGGTCTGGACCATCCAGAATTATAATCACTAACATACAAACACGGATGTTTGTCATTGACAACAGGCAAGTACAGACATTATATGCAGTCAAAAGGCCATACATTATGTACACGTGTACATCGCATATAAGGCTATTTTTAAAACTGGAATATATGAACAAAACAAAATGGCTGCATAGAGTTAGCGAGAATGGGTTGATATACTACATAATTGTATTGTAATTGATAAGCGGATACTACACAAGGGTAACTTGACCCCTGAATGCTACTCAAAGATTCAATCAATATCTCGTATACCCTTCAGATAATAACATTTAAAATGTTTGCGGAATGGTTTGTGTATATGCTATAGTAACAAGTATGCTACGAGTACAAATACAATAAAATAACCTTGGTTTATGTCTAACTAGTATGGTTTTGATAATGATAAATGTTTTAGATAATCCGTGAAACTTTCTGTACCAGTACGTCTTAAACATAAAATAATACAAATCAGTTTCCATATAGGTAGTTAAAATATACTCAGTGTTTTAAAGATCTATCCTCTATATATGTTCAAACCTATGAAGTCTGAAAGATATAAATATTTGTAAATATTGTTAAAAGTAGTGTCGAAACGACGTGTCTTTCCTATTTTGCATCACACATCCCTAAACACTTTGTCCACTCTCCTTTTTACCAGACAAATCGATATTTATTGCTTGGACATATGGATTACAGATAGAAACGTTATATTTACTACGTCCAAGTCAGAAAGTCTAGTTATTATAAAAATAAGAAATGTTTCCTAATGATCAAGTCATTTAAACTTGGATAGAACAAAAACATTTTGTCTTTTTTTATGTTTTCGTTTAAATTAAACTTCCATCAACGATACTTTTCAGAAAAAATATGAACTACAACAATCCTAATCAGAAAAGAGAAAAAGAAAGCAGACTTTTTGAAAACAGATTTTATCTAATATTGTTCCCTTCACTACATAGGATGTGTATACAGTAAAAACATATTCTTAATCTTATGACCTCTTTAGAGAAGTGTTTAATGTGAATTTTAAACTTGTGTTACTTTTGTTGTGCTGACACCAATAACAATAGAATCATTCACATGTAATGGATGGCATAGGTATTTCAGCAAAAAAGATCGACCAATTTAGTTATCTTCAAAGTAAATCATGTTGACTACTTTCATTACAGAGTTTGGAAATAATACCGTATGTTTAAGTTCAAATGTTTAAATATCACACATATTGCATTGCCGATACTGTAATCTCGTAATTTAATTAGTTATGTGTTTTTGTGCAGTTACACTTAATCTTAGAGAGAGAAAGAGATGTTAAATCTGAATATGGAGTTGTAGACGACTTTTTCAACTTCACAGTTGAAATGTTAATCATATCTTCCGTGGCAACACGTGTTGAGTAGTGTGACAGGAATGTTGATAATGTCATGTATGTAAATAACAAAAATAATTTTAACACAGTCTTGATGTTTTGTTGCTATACCCATCCTGCTAGATACGGGTGCTCGAAGGTACTTCCCCTGTAATAATGGTATGTGTAACACGTGGGTGTAACGTTACATATAAATCCTGGCACCTGATGTCAGGTAAGTATTTACTGTAAATGAAGTTTATTTACCGTGACAAAACGGCCTAACGATGAAAATAGTATTGATGTTGATTGTCCTCTTATTTTCAACTCTGTCCTTTACGTCTCTGAAAGGTGAGTTTTAATCAAAATCCTACCATGTAAACTATGATATTGTAAAACGCCATCATATTTCATGTAAACCTGATGTGTAATTCTCGTTGATATCTCTGTGTATGTAGATGGAGGGCTATATTGTATTTTAGACATATCTGAATATGTAACATTGGATTAAGAATTTTTCTTATCATTATATATCACGAAATAAACCTTATAGGAGTCATTTATAAAATGATGCGTGTCGCCTTCTTGATATTAGATTCGTTTCATTTAATACTTAGAAAAAAAACCTTGTGTTTTAAAAGTAATTAGATAATTTACAATCATAATTGAATTAACTCATAGTAAAGTTAATATTGAATTTGTTTTTTCAGTGGAGTGTGGCGTTGTGCCTAAAGGTAATGACTCGGGCATGAAGAAAAGAGATTATACAATAAAACGCATAAAGAAAATTGGCGAACGAATGCTTAAGAAGGTAAGTAAAATGGAACATATATTAACCAATGACACTAGAGTACAAACTTACATTGATACGTATCAGACAGTATCTTACGAGTAACTAAGTTATTTCAAATCATTATTATAATGCTCGTGGGATATTGTCCACTGATAAGAATATCATTCTCTAACCCATATCTAAGTCAGTGAGAACTGAACAGCTTCCATTTACACTGAGCGATTAAGAAACATGGCTCGTATTTTAATTTATATAAATTTTACAAACTCGCTGGTTGATAATGTTACTTTGAGGTAATGACGATAACTTATCGATATAAGAAACAATAGTCTCCGTGAAGATTTAAAACTGGTACTCATGTTCCAGATTGTTTATTGCTAATGTTAACATATACTATAATAAATACATTCATATTTGATAAGAACAAATTTTCTCCTTTTTATCTTTGAGGATAATAAGTTATTTTCTAGGATAAGGAACCTAAAGAAAGTATAGATATTCTATATATTATACAAAATGTAAGTCATCAGTTCGGTGATATAGTCATCAATACTTGAAATACAATGTACATATCTATATATATACCTAATTGTAATTACATATAAATCCCACTTTTAATTAAAACAATAAATATTATGAAATATTTATGGGTGGGGTGTCAAAAATCGGGAATACTCGTAACCATCTTATTGGTATAATATTTTATACAAGCAAAAAAAGTGTTTTAATGAATGTGACTGATAATTTCCTAATCATTTTATTGATATCAGCACTTTCAGAACTTCGATTTCAATACCCGTGTGCCTTTTCCTATACATGTTATCAAACTATTCTTAAATATCTAACTCTGATATTAAACGGTTAACGAGTTTTTCTTATTTTTTTTTTTACTTCAGCTGGATGAACTTAATTCACGGATAAATAGCACAAGATATTGCAGTAAGGCTATTCTTAGAGATTTCCTCAGCAAAACAGATATACCTGTTAAGTCAACGACCACTTATGGCTAAAATGTGTCTGTGATGCAATGAACATTGATGTTTCTTAAAAGAAACCTTGGCATATTTATCATATATCTGATGGCAATGCTGATATATATAGTTACAGAAATTTGGATCCTGTGCATGCTTTAGTCTACGTGTTGATTTTACGTATAATAAGGTCACTATTAACTGCTGTAAGGAGATAAACATGAATACATGGAAAAACGAACGGCGAAGCTACGTTTTATATCATTTTACGTGACAAATGTATTCTTATATTTTGATGTCAACATGTATCATTTTGTCAGTTAGTTCTTCTTGGTATTGAATAAATGAATCCATGAACATATGTTTAAAAGTGAAATATAGACAATTATAATTTACTTTTAATATGGGATATCTGAATAAAATATTCCTTTGTTTAAGTTTTTTGTTTTTGTTTTCTTTCCCCTCTAACGAAATCTACGACAACGTCTACTCTAACATGTAATACATCTTTACCTATTATAACCATATTCTATTCATATGCGGTGTAAATGATACACACTGTAGGCTTACTAATAAATACGTAAAATAAAAACTCTCATGGTGTAATTTTGTTAAAACATGTTACATTGTTAAACAGTGTTCAACAGAGTGCAAATACAACGAATTGTCTACAGCTTACCGATGTAATAAATATTTTACTGTATAAAGATGTAATGAGTACAGTTTTGTATGTATACCAAATATTGTAAATCATTCCTGCATATATGTATTGAGTACTGTGTAATTTTCAAATACGTCGAGTATAATACAGGATACCAGTATATCGAACATTGAAGAGTATAAGGCACACCAAGTATGATACATTATAAAGATGTACCAGGTATGGTAAAGTATAAAGATGTACTGAGTATGGTACAGTATAAAGATGTACCGGGTATGATACAGTATAAAGATGTACCGGGTATGGTAAAATATAAAGATGTATCGAGTATGGTACAGTATGAAGATGTACCAGGTATGGTAAAATATAAAGATGTACCGGGTATGGTAAAATATAAAGATGTATCGAGTATGGTAAAATATAAAGATGTATCGAGTATGGTACAGTATAAAGATGTACCAGGTATGGTAAAGTGTCATGATGTACCGGTATGGTACAGTATAATTTTGTACCCGGTTTGGTACATTATAAAGATTATCCGTGTATGGTATAGTATAAAGATGTATCGGGTGTGGTACAGTATAAAGATGTACCGGGTAAGGTACAGTATAAAGATGTACCGGAATGATACAGTATAAAGATGTACCGGATATGTTTAAGTATAAAGATGTACCGAGTATGGAACAGTATAAAGATGTACCCGGTATGGTACAGTATAAAGATGTACCGGGTATGGTACATTATATAGAGTATCCGAGTATGGTACAGTATAAAGATATACCGGGTATGATACAGTATAAAGATGTACCGGGTATGGTACAGTATAAAGATGTCACGGGTATGGTGAAATATAAAGATGTACCGAGTATGGTACAGTATAAAGATATACCGGATATGGTAAAGTATAAAGATGTATCGGGTATGGTAGAGTGTAAAGATGTACCGGTATGATACCGTATAAAGATGTACCGGATATGGTACAGTATAAAGATGCACCGGGTATGGTACAGTATAAAGATGTACCGGGTATGGTAGAGTGTAAAGATGTACCGGTATGGTACAGTATAAAGATGTACCGGGTATGGTAGTATGGTACAGTATAAAGATGTACCGGTATGGTACAGTATAAAGATGTACCGGTTCATGATACAGTATAAAGATGTACCGGGTATGGTACAGTATAAAGATGTAACGTAAATGGAAAAGAATAAATATGTACCGGATATGGTACAGTATGAAGAGTAACCGAGTATGGTAAAGTATACAGATGTATCGGGTATGGTACAGTGTAAAGATGTACCGGATATGGTGATACAGTACAGTTAAAGATGTACCGGATATGGTACAGTATAAAGATGTACCGGGTATGGTACTGTATAAAGATGTAAAGTAGAAAGTATAAAGATGTACCAGGTATGGTAAAGTATAAAGATGTACAGGGTATGGTAAAGTATAAAGATGTACCGGGTATGGTACAGTATAAAGATGTACCGGATATGGAAAAGTATAAAGATGTACCGGGTATGGTACAGTATAACGATGTAACGGGTAGGGTACAAAATAAAGATGTACCGGGTATGGTACAGTATAAAGATATACCGGTATGATACAGTTTAAAGATGTACCGGATATTTTTAAGTATAAAGATGTACCGAGTATGGAACAGTATAAAGATGTACCCGGTATGGTACAGTATAAAGATATACCGGGTATGATACAGTATAAAGATGTACCGGGTATGGTACAGTATAAAGATGTCACGGGTATGGTGAAATATAAAGATGTATGATACAGTATGGAGTATGATATACCGGGTAGTAAAGTAACCAGTATAAAGATAGATGTACCGGGTATGGTACAGTATAAAGATGTACCGTTCATGGTATAGTATAAAGATGTATCGGGTGTGGTACAGTATAAAGATGTACCGGGTAAGGTACAGTATAAAGATGTACCGGAATGATACAGTATAAAGATGTACCGGGTATGGTACAGTATAAAGATGTACCGGATATGGAAAAGTATAAAGATGTACCGGATATGGTACAGTATAACGATGTAACGGGTAGGGTACAAAATAAAGATGTACCGGGTATGGTACAGTATAAAGATGTACCGGGTATGATACAGTATAAAGATGTACCGGGTATGGTACAGTATAAAGATGTACCGGGTATGGTATAGTATAAAGATGTACCGGGTATGGTACAGTATAAAGATATACCGGATATGGTAAAGTATGAAGATGTATCGGGTATGGGGTACCGGGTATGGTACAGTATAAAGATGTACCGGATATGGTAAAGTATAAAGATGTATCGGGTATGTTACATAATATGGTACAGTATAAAGATGTACCGGGTATGGGTATAGATGTACCGGGTAGTATATAAAGATGTACCGGGTAGTATAAAGAGTACCGAGTATGGTAAAGTATAAAGATGTACCGGGTATGATACAGTATAAAGATGTACCGGGTATGGTACAGTATAAAGATGTACCGGGTATGGTACAGTATAAAGATGTACCGTTCATGGTATAGTATAAAGATGTATCGGGTGTGGTACAGTATAAAGATGTACCGGGTATGGTACAGTATAAAGATGTACCGGGTATGGTAGAGTGTAAAGATGTACCGGTATGATACCGTATAAAGATGTACCGGATATGGTACAGTATAAAGATGTACCGAGTATGGAACAGTATAAAGATGTACGGGTATGGTGAAATGTAAAGATGTATCGAGTATGGTACAATATAAAGATGTACCGGGTATGGTACAGTATAAAGATGTACCGGGGATAGTACAGTATAAAGATATACCGGAATGATACAGTATAAAGATGTACCGGATATGGTACAGTATGAAAAGTAACCGAGTATGGTAAAGTATAAAGATGTACCGGGTATGATACAGTATAAAGATGTACCGGGTATGGTACAGTATAAAGATGTACCGGGTATGGTACAGTATAAAGATGTACCGGGTATGGTACAGTATAAAGATGTACAGTATAAAGATGTACCGGGTAAGCTACAGTATAAAGATGTACCGGACTTATCCAGTTTTAAGATGTTACGGTTATGTTTAAGTATAAAGATGTACCGGGTATGGTACAGTATAAAGATGTACCGGTCATGGTATAGTATAAAGAGTATCCGAGTATGGTAAAGTATAAAGATGTACCGAGTATGGTAGAGTATAAAGATAAACCGGATATTGGAAAGTATAAAGATGTACCGGTATGATACAGTTTAAAGAGTATAAAGATGTACCGGGTATGGTACAGTATAAAGATGTACCGGGTATGGTACAGTATAAAGAAAGATATATGTACCGGGTATGTACAGTATAAAGATATACCGGATATGGTACAGTATAAAGA